AATGAACCAAGAGGGCAGCCTAAATGAACTCTGCCTATTGCATAACATCAGCATGAGCACATGCCACCTTCTCTAGGCTTTTTCTTTCAGTTTTTGTCCATCCAATAAAACCAAGAGTTTATCCTGCAACAAGATAAAAGAGAGTAGGTGTATTTAATTAATTTTTACTGATAATCTAATCATTGAAAAGAAAGAAAAGACTGAAATTTTTATAGTAGTCCTAGGACTAACATGAATGTCAAGTAAATGTCAATGGTACAAGTATACCGATACTTTTTCCTTTTTCGAGATGTATTTCTGCGTTGGGGAGATGTTAATTTATATAACGGGTTTTGCCCTTACCCAACATACAAATTAATAAACACTGTATGCTCAGTGCTTGTCCCAGAGCTTGCGAAAAAAGTCACAAGCTTACTCGGGTGGGACTCGAACCCACGACCTCCTGTTTACTAGTGCAGACATCTTAACCACTCGACCACCGAGCTTGCCGGGGTCGGCTGACCGGTCCGAGTCAGGTGAAGCAGCGGGTACCGCGAACTATTTTCAAGATGTATTTCTGCGTTGGGGAGATGTTAATGTTATGTATGCTGGGTAAGGGCAAAACCCGTTATATAGATACTTTTCCTGTTATTGCACGCCAGACCTTAATATTTATAGCGACTTTACAGCGCAATGCAAGCAACATTTTTAAAAATCCTACCAGTACATGCTAACTATGCTCACACGACCATATCATGTAAATGAACATTCTGAACTGCAGGGTATGAATGTGTGCTACCATGGAGCTACATGTACATGTATACATGTACATGTAGCTCCATCATACTACATGTATGTGTAGGATGCCACTGTGGTCCCTGGCTCCCCACACAAAAGACATTAGGTCTATTCAAATTATGACTTGCAGCAATCAATATAATGCCGGAGCTGTACTTAGGACTTATTTTGTTACAACTGTGAATGAAGTCAAATAATTTAATGAAATTATTATGGGTTTTACATTAGATTTTCAATTTGCTTCATTTTTCCTAAACATAAACTGAACCTCAGGTGGAATTTGAAAAAACAACTGAAATTTACTGTGAAGATATTTTGTTTTATTTCACACAGAAAGACAACAAGCCTTTTAACATCTGCTGTATGTTGTTTCTCAACTTTGATGTTGTTAACTTGTAAGTCATAACCCATTGTCAATTCAAGGTAGGAAAAGTTTTATCCAGAGTGCCTAGTATGAGGAGACTTTATGAAAAGGGGCTTTCACAGAATTGACCATGTCCTTTTTTCGTAATGTGGGTTACTAAAATTAAATGATTCAAGAATCCAAAATGTTTGTCCTTTTTCTTTAAATTCATTTAGTTCGTCTATGTCTACTCTACCCACATTGAAAAAAGAAACTTGTAGTCCCTAACAATTACAGAGATACAGCACCTGATCCAGTAAATGTACCCATTATTTGTAATGCGAGTTATTGTGGAATTGCCCTTGGACAACCAAGCACGGAAAATACAAAGGTACATGTAATTAGTGGAGAGAAGGCTTGCTGTTGGATATTGACACACAAGAGATGGCCAGTTCTGATTAATCCAGTCATAAAGCAAAGAGGGGAAGGGGACCCATGGATGTACTAATGTACATGTAAGTCGCTCAACGTGATCAACATCCATGTGCATGTATCTGCATGGTCTCCAATTGTAACACTCCTACAAGTACATAGCTAAGTGACATCAAAAGTGCTGAGGATTCTTACAAGATTTTGCACAAATATTTTCCTGTTTTAGATGAAACGGAAGAATGTCCATCAACATATGCATGAAGAAAGTGGTGTCCGAAGTATCATCAATGGAAATGCAATTCATACTAGGACTGTTCTACAGAACGACTTCATGAAAATACCAAAATTACCTGAAACAACGGCAACCAATAGGACATTACATGTACATGTAGTGCTGGTGCTAACAGCACATGTACTGTACATGTACATATATGTCCCCTGCACATTTTTTCAAGATCACTACAGAAACTGTAAATACAGGTTTCAGAAGCATTATACACAGTTTTCAACACCACATGATCCAGATATTTTGAAGGTGTTCCCATGTCTTAACCACTTCCTGCTGGGGACTCTGAAATCGGAACCGTATGCTTTACATGCGTGGCCGGGGTCTCCGATCTCGGACAAAGGAAACAGGGCCCTGTAACAAAAGACCATACTCCGAACAAAAGACCAGGCATTACCGGCATTTTTCACTCTCAAAATTGGTGATAATCCTGCGTTGTTTTGAAACAGTATACCAGGGTTTGGGGCATTGAGAGCGAGCGGATTACCACTGGGGACAAAAGCGCTCCACCACCGCAGCGACGAGCCACACAGCACCGCTGCACGCTAATCTGGCCCCTATTGAAAAGAGGTCAGCAGTGCACTGAGCCAGGTTCGTGAACAAAAGACACTTGTATAACACTGCACAATCTGGGCTCT